CTGCAAATGTGAGAGCTGGAGCTGTATCGCAAGATCTCTTCCTCACCCTGGGGTGTGAAGTCAGGGCCCACTCGGAGCATCTGACAGACTGACAGCTGGGCTGGCCTAGGAGATAAGCAAGAAGGTGTCAGGCAGGGGGAGGAAGGTGTCAACCACAAAAGAGGTGGGGACCTCCCCACCTCCCCTTAGCCCAGTCCTTAGAATCATGTCCTACATGTTTGCTCTCCCTCTGGCCAGCCACAATGCCAGGCCCTCTCCTGACATGGGGTCCCGGCATAGTACCCTTCAAACACGTGACAAAGCTCTTGGAACCATGTGCAGGGCCAGCTGACACCAGGCTACTGAGTCTCCATTCTGGGGGTGTCAGTGGTTGTGGGACACAGGCCTTTGAGGAGGAGGCGGGGGATTTACCTGTGGGGCCATTGTACCCCCTTTTTTCACTGTGCTCCTCTGCTTTGCTCTGCTCCCCAAGCCCATGTCCTGACAGCCATTATGCCCTGATGTTTGCACCAATGTTGATTCCACAGCACCCAGCAGGCCCGCTGTTAGAGAGGCTGCAGACCCCAAGGTTTGGGCCTTATCCCTGCGAGAGGTAGACCCAGGAAGTAGTCAATGCCCGATACCTCATTGGCGATCAGGAAAACTGTGAGTGAGGGTAGGGGATATAACCAGGTTGGCAGAGTGCTTGCCTAGGATGAATGGAACCCTGGAGTGAGTCCCCAGCACCATAGAAAACCTGACCTAGCAACACATACCTGCAATTCCTGTAGTTGGGACTCAAAAGGCAGGAGGGTCAAGTAATTCAAGGTCATCCTGGGCTAATACGAATTGTAAGACAGTCTAGGCTCCACGAGACCACGTCTCAAAGTATGTGAATGAGGGGCAGGTTCTTGAGGGTTACCAGATGCTAACGCCATGGCTCATTTCTTTAATACTTAACCCTGGTCTCTGTCCATCTTGATTATTTTTTTGCTTGTTCATTTGTTTGTTTGAGACAGAATTTCTCTGTGTAACAATCCTAGCTGTCCTGGAACTCGCTTTGTAGACCAGGCTGCCCTCATTGAGATCTGCCTGCATCTGCCTCCCAAGTGCTGGGATTAAAGAGTGTGCCACCACTGCCTGGCTATCAATCTTGATTTTTCTGGGTGTTTTATGGTCATTCTTACCATAGCACACCTCCTTACCTATATGTTCCTTCACCTAGGGACCTAACAGACACACAGACACACAGACACACACACACAGTTTATAACAAGTTTTATGTGTCTGTGTACACACAAATTCATAGTGTGAAATGATTACCACAGTCGAATAATAGCCATCAATTCAACATTAATAGAGTAGTCATTTCATAGCGACCTGTGTGTGTACAGCAAAGGAACCTAACACAGCCAGCCATGGTGGCCCACATCTGTCATCCCAGCTCTTGGGAGGTAAAGGAAAGAGAATGAGGGGTTCAGGGTCATCTTGTCTTACACAGTGAGTTGAAGGTCAGTTGAATGCCCAAGCTACTTAACAAACACACATACAAATGTACTTAGAGGGATAAAGAGACACTGCCGGTTCAGTCTCAAACACAAGAATCTAAAACCTAATACTCACGGCTATTTCTCAGTAGATTCCAAAATCACAAAATCACTTTCTCTTTTATCATTTTTAGTTTTTTTGTTTGTTTGTTTTGGTTTTTAGAGACAGGGTTTAGCTGTGGCTTTTGAGCCTGTCCTGGAACTAGCTCTTGTAGACCAGGCTGGCCTCAAACTCACAGAGATCCTGCCTGCCTCTGCCTCCCGAGTGCTGGATTAAAGGCGTGCGCCACCACCGCCCGGCTCTTTATCATCATTTTGAGACACAAAGCTGGCCAGAACTCTCTAGGTAGACCAAGGTGGCCTTGAGCCCACAGAGATCTGCCTGACCCTGCCTCTCCAGTGTTGGAATTAAAGGCATACACCACCAGGCTCAGCTAAGGTTTTGTTAAGTTTATGTGTGTTTGTGCACTTGTGGGTAGGTCCTTCTGAGGCCAGAAGAAGGTGTTGGATCGCTTGGAGGTGAAGTTACCGGGGTTTTCCAGCTGCTGGTTGTCAGGGCCAGAACCCAACTGTGGTCCTCTGCCAAAGCACCAAGGACTCCTAACTGCTCAGCCATCTCTCCAGCCCCTCCCTCCTTCCTCAGCCTCTTTTTTTTCTTTCCTCCTCCCCCACCCCTTCTTTTTTTTCTATTTAGAACTCCCAGGCTGGCCTAGAACCTGTGATCCTCCTGCCTCGGCTTCTGGATCACACCGCTTGTCCCTGTTCTCTCCAATGTTCTCAGCCATTCTCATTCCATCTCTAGGTATAACTACATCTTGGTGCCCTTTGGCTCACCTTGAACTCCTGCAAAAGCACATGCCTTTAATCCCAGCACGCAGGAGGCAGAGGCAGTTGGATCTCTGTGAGTTCAAGGCCAGCCTGATGTACAAATTGAGTTTCAGGCCATCCAGGGCTACAAAGAGAAACCCTGTCTTAGAAAACCAAAATCAAAACAACAAACTCCTTTCCACCTTTTGTTCTGTCTTCAAATTTGGAGATCTCGGATGTTGAGTAAATCACTTTCTCTTGGTAGGTGTCAATTTTCTAGCATCCATCTTGAATGGTTACGGTGCTGGCAGGGTGAGGCAAAGCTTGTAGAAATGTCTTACCCAGTTGCTGGCACATGGTTAGGGCTACCATGCCATGAGGTGCAATGCCGGCATTGTGTAGACTGGATAAGGGCAGACTCGATTGCATGAGCGCAGCATCCCTAGCCAGGAAGGGGTTAATGAAGAGAGCCATAAAACAAGTCAGTCTACCCAAGAGCATGCAGCCCTGCCCATCTGAACCCTCTGGGAAGCTGTTTTAGGCCCCTGCCTGATAGGACAAAGGGTGACTTATTCTAAGGGCTTGCTGTGGGCCAGACCCAACCCAAAGGCTTTACAGTGATTATTCTGAGGAATCCCCGACAAAGTTCCAAGAGGCAGAGATTGACAGATGAAAAAACGAGAGATCAGTGGATTTGCGGTGAAGTCACCCAGCTGGATGATGTCGAGCAGAGCTGGATTAACAACTCTACACGCTGACTCTGAGGGCGCTTCTGGCTTCATCTCTGTGTCCGCCAATAGGGAATGCCGTACTGGAGGCTTCATCTCTGTGTCCGCCAATAGGGAATGCCGTACTGGAGGCTCACTAGAGTCAGAAGAGAGTGGGACACAAGTGTGCACTGTGGACACAGCATGAACCAGAGAGGCGTAGCCACAGGTGCTGGAGAGCGCACAAGAGCAGATGAGATACATCTTATAATTACACGCACAGATCAACATCAAAATGGAGGGGCTGGAGAGATGGCTCTGGGTTAAGAGCACTTCTGTTCCCAGCATCCATGTTGGGTTCCTCACAACCAACTGTAAATCCAACCCCAGGGGACTGCACCTGGCCTCCTCAGGGGCCTGTGCTCACCTGCACATACACACATCCCTGCATGCATACACACACAGTTAAAAATAATAAAAATAAAGTCTAGGGGCTAGGGAGATGGTTCAGTGGTTGAAAGCAGTGACTGTTCTTCCAGAGGATCTGGGTTCAATTTCCAGCACCCTCGTGGCAGCTCATAGCTGTCTGTAATTCCAGTTCCAGGAGATCTGACACCTTCACAGACATACATGCAGGCAAAACACAAATGCACATGAAATAAAAATAAATTATTTAAAAAAAATGCCTAAAGAAACAAGCCCCCACATCAACAAACTTAATGTCCACAATCACCTGTTGCTGATTCCTTTGCCCCAACTTACATATAGAAATTGCATGTTTCAGCAACAGCTGGGCCTCTGTGAGAAATGGTAACAAAAGATGTGTTGCTCAGTAAGCAAGAAAAGGGCAGGGTGGTTGTAACGTTTGGTCTTAATCTCAGCACTCTGGAGGCAAAGGCAGGCAGATCTCTGAGTTCAAGGCCAGAGTTCCAGGACAGCCAGGGCTGTACAGAGAAACCCTGTCTTGAAAAACCAGACTAAAACAAACAAAGCAAGGAAAAGAAGGGGATGGTGGTAGTGGTTGGGGCATAGAGATGGCTCAGAGGATAAGTGCACTGGCTGCTCTTCCAGGGGACCCGAGTTCAATTCCCCGCACCTACATGGGCTTTGACGCCTTTGTCTGGCAATCCTTGAACACTGCACACACAAGGGGCACAGTCATTCATGCAGGCAGAACACCATACACATAAAACAAAGTAAAAACATTTTTAAAGGGTGGGGATTTAAGCAGCTTGGAAGACTCTGAAGCAACCCTGTGGCTTCTTCTTCTGGTCAGAGTGAGTGCTACGTGGGTTCCCATGGTAAAAGGCTTCAGTGGGAGAGCCTTGGCCTCACTCTGCCCAGAAGGCCAGCTGTGGAGGTGTAGGGTTACTGCCGCAGAACTTAAGGGGTGAAGGCAGGAGGATACCCGGGTGCAGGCCCAGGCTATAAAGGCAGTGTGGCACATGAAACCCTGTCTCAAAACAACAATAGCAACATACTCTATCAATAGAGGCTGGGGAGGGGGGCAGTCAGGCACAGTCAAAACTCACACCCCTATCCTGGTGTGGTGGGTGTGGTGACGCATCCCTAATACTATTGCTTGGGGAAACAGGAAGCAAGATTGGACATTCAAGGCCAGTCTTAGCTGTGGGAGACCCTGTTTCTTCTCTCTCTTTCTCTCTCTATGTTTTTGTTTATTTGTTTTGTTTTTTTTTTGAAACAGGGTTTCTCTGTGTAGTCCTGGCACTCATTCTATAGACCAGACTGACCTCCAGTCCAGTGATCCTCCTGTCTCTGCCTCCCGAGTACTGAGATTCAAGGCCACTATGCCACCACTTCCTGGCTGAGACCCTGTTTTAAAAAGAGAAAAAAAAAAAATCCAAACAAGCGGCTCATGCCCTAGGACCAAAGGGGGCCTTGGCAGCCTCCTCTGTACCCTCTCTTCTTTCCTGGAAGCCCATTTAAGGCAACTTCAAACATGTTGCATCTTCCTGTCATCTCTCACACCCCCGGGGGCCTCAGACTGCCCGCCTGTCTGCCCAGCCTCCTTCTCAGCCGGAGAGGGCTGCTGCAGAGCCCGGTGAGGAGCCCACATGGCCAGCTCATGCCTTCCAGGCCACGGTATTTGAGACCTGAGACAGGGGTGGGGAGAGGGAAAGGCAGGGTCTTGGGGGCCTGAGACACTGGACTGAGAATTTTTTTAGAATCTGAGGGGCATTTGGGGTCTCTTAGGGTGGGAGGGGTGACAATTGCCTAGCTAAGTTGACCTCTGTATCTTGTGGCCTCAGATGAAGATGCCAGAGCAGCGGGTTCTGACTGGCAGCCAGCCAGCTGAACACGGGGGCATCTTCTTGTCAGTCTAGGCAGATGGCACCTGGGGCTCTCCCTTTCTAGGGTTTCACCGCTGATGAGGGAGTTGACCCTGGAATAACCAAGGTTCACAAGACCCTGATTTGATGTTCCCCAGAAACGCTACCTGGGTGAGCCTGGATGGTGGGAGCCTCTGGTTGCTATGGTCCTGTTCTCTATGGAAAAAGCAGGTTTCCCCAGTTTTCAGTGGCCTTGAGGAATCCAGAATGTTCCCTCAGAGCGCCCATGAAGACTTTGCTCTTCATTTAATATTCTTTCTGCCCCTTCCAGGGAAGTGTCATTGGCTTTGACGTGTCAGGACTAAGACAGTTGTCACACATTAGCTAGGACCTTACCCATTTCTCTTTGCTTTTTTCTTTAGTTTTTGTTTATTTGTTTGGGTTTTTTGTTTGTTTTGTTTTTTCTTTATTTTTTTATTTTTCGAGACAGGGTTTCTCCATAGTTTTTTGGTTCCTGTCCTGGAACTAGCTCTTGTAGACCAGACTGGCCTCGAACTCTGCCTCCCGAGTGCTGGGATTAAAGGCGTGCGCCACCACCACTGGCTGTTTTGTTTTTTCTTTTTGTTTTTTTCCTTTTTTTTTTTTTTTGTTTTTTTGAGACAGTGTTTCTTTGTGTTGCTTTGGAGCCTGTCCTGGAACTAGCTCTTGTAGACCAGGCTGGTCTTGAACTCCCAGAGTTCCACCTGCCTCTGCCTCCTGAGTGCTGGGATTAAAGGCAAGTGTCACCACTGCCCGGCCCTCTCTTTACTTTTTTTTTGAGACAAGGTCTCACCTAGCCCTGACCTCCCTGTGTAGCCACGGCTGACCTTACAGTCCCGCTCCTCCCTCCTCTACCTCCCAAGTGCTGGAAGTACAGTGTTTCTCACTGTGCCCAGTTTATGTGTCGCTGGAGATCAAACCCAAGGCCTTATACGTGCGAGGCTTGCACTCGGCCAACTCAGCTCCATCTCCAGCCCCGTGCCCTCCACGTCTCACATAGACACTCTGAGGCCAGGAAGAAAGGGACCTGCTTCCAGCCGCACCCCACAGCAAGGGTGTCAGTGCTGTGCCAGCCTTCACAGCCCACCTGGATACCCGTGGAGGGTGAGACATGCCCATCTCCCTGAGAATGTCTGCCCAATTAAACAGAAGGGTGGAATGCCTGGATGGATGAGACCCTCCCCTTCCTGCTCCAGGCAGAGATGCCAGAGGCCCCGTGTACCTGCTTTAGGGGCTCGGATTGTCCTATAGGCAAGAGAAGGGAAAGACCACACAATGTGTAGATGACCGTGGCCTTGGACTTTAGTGGGGGCCAGAAGCATCCTGTGCCTTTGCTGTCTTGAATGAGGATTTTCCAAAGTTTCCTTTGGTCCCATTCAGAACAGCACAAAAGGTGAACACCAGGACGATCAGGAGTTAGGGTGTCGAGGGAGAGTGGGGTGAGTTAAACAGGGGGGAGTGGACAGTCTACGGTCAATGAAAGAAACCCTTGGAGGAGGGAAAGGGAACCATTTGAACGAAGAGATGGTGAGTGGGTGGCCACGGTTTAGCGTCTTCCTTTTAAAAACCAAACCGGGGGTGAGTCCGTGCAAGAGACTCTTAAGGCCTTGGTTCTCGGGCCTTTTTCCTGCTTCTCGGGTCTTCTTAATCAACACTTCTCAGCCACTTCTAGACAAAATGGATACTCATGACCTGTCCTTGGCCAGTTGGATGTGCCCCTTGCCTCTGGCACCAGCTAAACCTTCCTTGCTGGCCTGCCCACAGGCTCAGACCTTATGTCCTGCAGAAGACACTCCTGGGCATGACCCCACGGGATCTCAGCGAGGACGTCTCAAACATGAGTGAGTCTGGGGCCTGGGACTGGACCTGAGAGCTTTGTTGGGGTGTTGAATGGGACACAGGATTTAGGATGGGGCAGGAACTGGGACTCTGTGTCACTGGTGAGGATAGAGCCCCAGGTACACTTTCCTGCTACATTTAGGGTTGGCGCTCTGGCCAGAATTGCCCATGGCCCTTTCAAGACAACAGCATAGCAGCTGCTGTAGTCTATCATCAGGCTGGGGGTAACAAAACTGCTGACCTAGAATGTTTGAGCTAGAGCGGGCTTTAATTATTTTTATATTAGTTAGTTCGTTTTGTGTATAGGCATGCCTGTGATGGCCAGAGGACAACTTGCAGAAGTCAGTTCTCTCCTTCCACCGAGCTTGAACTCGGGTCCTCAGGCTTGGTAGCAAGCACCTTTACCTGCTAAGCCATTTTGGTGCCCCTATTATTTTAATTTTTTTGTTCACTTTTATTGGGTCCCATGTAGCCCAGGCTGGCCTCATACTTACTATGCAGCTAAGGCTGCCATTGCATTCCTTCCTGATCCTCCTGCCTCCACTTCCCAAGTTCTGTGATAACAGGCATGCATCACCATGCCCAGCAGAGAACTGAACATTTTATTAAACGTACTTTAATGTAAATTTAGTTGTGTGTTCAGCAGCTGCCCCTTGGGACCCTTGTGTGACCTCCTCTTAACCCATAGCATCCAAATTTATATATTTAATTTGGGGCCTCTCCCTTAAACTTCAGCTAATCTTGACCTCTCCAGCTGCCTATACAGCTTTTTCTCCCTAAAACTGTCAGGCTTAGTAGCAGTGGGGAAACTGAGTCCCACAGGGACGTGCCCAGCCCAAGATGCCTCATCATTGGGCAGGCTTACGGGGGGCCAGATGTGCAGTCCAGACTGCAGGGGGCCTGATCATCTTCCCTTTCTGGTTCAGAGCACCAGTCACCGGGCACGCACGGAGACTCTATGGACAGTGAGAAACTCATAACCAAGGATCCACTAAGCAGAGATGAGATGGAAAACCCACCAGAAAGAGGATCCTGCCTACCCCTCCCGCCTCTCACCAGCTCCTCCCCAGATGTCAGGCTGGACAGAAAGAGCCCCAGTCCCTCGACCTGCTGGCCCTGGCTTCCCCCGACCATCATCTCCAAGCAACTCCCCGTCTACATCTGCCCAGTCTTTCCCGAGTACCCAGTTTTCCTGCCTCCCCCTTACCTATTCACATATGGGGCCCTACCTTCAGCCCAATGTCCATACCTCTTCATGGTGCCCCCAGACACCTCATACCCCATAGTGGCTGCATCCAGCTTGCCTATGACAGCCGATGGAGCTGGGCCCCATATCACCCAGGAGAAGCCCCTGCTGCTCTACTCGGGGGGTTTCCAGAGTGCTGGACACACCCTATACCCCCAGGTCAGGAGCCGGAGCTCTAGAGATGCTTCAGCCTTCTCTCCAGGACGGGCTGGCGTGGCAGCTCCTGCAAAGCAGCCAGGCTCTCAGGCCGGTGTCGTAACCCTGCCCTACCCGCTGAAGAAAAAGAATGGGAAAATCCTATATGAGTGCAATGTGTGTGGCAAGAACTTTGGGCAGCTCTCCAACCTCAAGGTATCACCTTTCCGGGTTCAGGGCTCTCTTGCCTTTCCCCTTTCCTGAAGTCTGGAAGCCACTCCCGGGAACCTCCTAGGGCCGAAGGGTCTTGAGGTTCACCCAGGCGGAAATCCAGGATAAGCTGAACACTGGTTTTGGTGGAGCGTACTTTAGTCTCTGTCAGTCAGCAGACCGTGGCAAGAGAGTGCCAGCAGATATCCAAGACCAGTTTGGGCAATATAACGAAACTCCTCCTGTCTTAGTTAGGGTTGCTATTGCTGTGACCACGGCAACTCTTATAAGGAAAAGCGTTTAACTGGGCACGGCCCGCAGTTCAGTGGTTTAGTCCATTATACAGGAAGCATGGCAACATGGAGGCAGACAGGTACTGGAGAGGTAGCCGAAAGTTCTACGTCTGGATCCTCAGGCAGCAGGAACAGAGGGAGACACACTGACTAGGCTGGAGCTTCTGAGACCTCCAAGCCTGTCCGCAATAACCCGCTTCCTCTAGCAAAACCACATCCACTCCAGCAAATCCACACCTAATAGTGTCAGTCTCCATGAGCCTAGGGGGCCATTTTCTTCTCTCTCTCTCTCTCTCCCTTCCTTCCTTCTTTCCTTGCTTCCTTTTTTTTTTTTTTCTTTTCTGTTTTGAGACAGGTATTTTCTATGTAGCTCTGGCAATCCTGGAACTCACTCTGTAGGTCAGCCTGGCCTCTACCTCCCAAGTGTTGAGATTAAAGGTATGTGCCACCATTGCTTGGCTCTATGGGGCCATTTTCATCCAAACTTCCACACCATCTAAAAAACAAAAAGAAACTTTAAAAAAAAAAACAGGTGTGGTGGCTTTTAATCCCAGCACCTGGGAGACAGAGACAAGCAGATCTGAGAGGGTTTGAGGCCAGCTTGGTCTACATATCAAGTTCCAGGCCAACTAGAATTACATAGGGAGGCCCCATCTCAAAAAGATAAAGGGTGGTGTGTGCATGTCAAAGTCTCTTCCATCCTGAGAGACTGTCTGTGAGATCACTTTAAGTTAAAAACGAGAAATTGAGGTCCCTAGTAGACAGGTAAACACTGTTGATTAGTGGGTTAGAGCTTGGATTTCAGTTTCTTGGCAACAACTACTGAGCTCTCTCCCAGACAGCATCCTCTCTGGGTCCCCGACTAAGCCTCCTTCTTGTTTTTGAAGATCAAAGAGGAGGAATGGGTAGGTTTTGGTGACTCAAGACCACAGTCTTACAACCTTTCTCAAGTGGGATCCCACAAATCAGGCCAGGGGCTGCAGGTGTCTTCATGTACATCATTTAGCAGGGGATGCCCACAGGGGCCCCTCACTGGTAGCCACAAGCTATGTGTAGGATATGGTTACTGGGGAGACAGCTTTACTGTATCCTCCAAGGAAGGATTGCTTAAGCCTTAACAAACCTCAAGCCACCACTCAGAGGGCTAGCAAACCTGCAGATTCCCAGGCTCCAGCCTCAGAGATGATGGCTCAGCTGACATAGAGGTCAGCCTCTAGACTCTGCATTTTAAAAATGTATTTATTTTATGTGCATCGGTGTTTTGCTCTGGGTGTCAGATCCCCTGGAACTGAAGTTATGGACAGTTGTGAGCTGCCATGTGGGTGCTGGGAATTGAACCCATGTCCTCTGGAAGAGCAGTTATTGCTCTTAACCACTGAGCCATCTCTCCAGCCCATAGACTCTGCATTTTTTTTAGCATACTCCCAAGGTCACACGTGATGCTGCTGGTCTGTGAATTGCACCCCAAGGAGCTATTCAAGGGGATACCTGGGGTACCCCTTATCTATCTTCCTGAATCTCTGCTACAGAGCAGACCAAAAAATGAAAGTGCCCTGGGTATTGCTAATGTCTGAGAGAAGTGATAAGTCCTGGATGACAACAAAGGGTCCTGCGGAGGGTTTTGGGTGGAGATTTGGAGTGGACTCTGAGCCCTGTTAGACATTCCGGGCAGCTGGCAATACTTCTTCCAGGTCCACCTGCGTGTGCACAGTGGAGAGCGTCCATTTCAGTGTGCCCTGTGTCAGAAGAGCTTCACCCAGCTGGCCCACCTACAGAAGCACCACCTGGTGCACACCGGGGAGCGGCCCCACCAGTGCCGGGTGAGACCCCTCTTCCCTTGCAGCTTGGTGAGGAATTCTAGGTCCCTGGAGGGATGGCTCCTGGGCCTCTGTTTCCCAAATCCTGAGTAAGTAAAGATGGAGAGAAGGTGGGAAGATAGCTAGTGGCAAGAGCTTGTGTGTGTGTGTGTGTGTATGTGTGTGTGCGCGCGCGTGCGTGCGTATGTACAAGCACACATGCATGCATGCTCAAGCACAGGCAGGCCACTGGAATGTGGAGGAGAAAACACGGCTGCACGCCTGTGCATGGAGAGTAACGAAGTTGAAGGTCCTGGAGCATGCACCCCCTCCCCTGCCTCCCTGGGTAGTTGAAGGAGCCATAGCAGATAGGAAATATCCAAATAGGCAAACAATTGGATCAATGCAGCTCCTCGAGTCTGGCCTCATTCTTTGGGAAGGCAGAGGTGGGGAAATCTCTTCCTGTTCCAAGGGGCAGAAAGGAGAGCACTGTAGTGGCTATGAGTCTAGGTTATGAATTCAGACCTCTGTTCAGCTCCTAGCTTCTCCTCCCGACTTTGGCTAGAGGCTCCCTTCCCCTGAGTCCCTGCTCTCTTGCTGGGGTTTAGTGATGCTTCTTGGGAAGACTAGGCAAGGTCAGTCAGTTCCTGGCTTGACCAGCTCCGGGGTAGATGTCGACTACCCGCCCGATGCTGCACTCGCCCAGTGCTAATATCTAAGTGATATTAACCTTATTCGGGCTTCCCTAACTAATGAGGCTAGGAATTAGTGCTCGTCTATAACTGACAGAGAAAGAAAGAAGCTCAGGGGGAAGCTATACAAAGTCACACAGGAAGTAAAGGAGAATGCTAGCCCCCACCTGCCAGGCTCTAGTGTGCCCTGTTGTGGGCCCTGGGAGAGAAGCCTCTGGGTCTGCAGTTGACAGGGAGGTGAGTGTGCCCATGACGGGTGGGATGGGGAGAGAGGCCCTGAGCCCATTGGAGGGCGAGGATGACGTGAGTGCCCATTTCTGTCAGATATGCCACAAACGCTTCAGCAGCTCCAGCAACCTGAAGACCCACCTCCGCCTGCACTCAGGTGCCCAACCCCTTCAGTGCAACGTCTGTTCCAGCAGCTTCGCCCCGCGTGTCCATCTGAAGCTGCACCATAGGCTGCAGGCTCCTTCGCCCTGTAGCCTGGCCCACCCCCACCTGCCCCTCACCTCTCTCACCTGCCTTGCCCAGTGGCATCAAGGAGCACTAGCTCTCGTGGAGGACTCATCGGAGAAGACGGGCTGGGATGTGTACAAGCTCAAGGTGTCTTCAGTGTCCTCGGGAAAGCAAGGGCAGCCAGCCTGAGCAGTGGGGCTAGGGTTGCTCTGGGAACGGAGTGTTGGCAATTAAAAGATTCTCCCAGCCAGGCGATGGTGGCGCACGCCTTTAATCCCAGCACTTGGGAGGCAGAGGCAGGTGGATCTCTGTGAGTTCGAGACCAGCCTGGTCTACAGAGCTAGTTCCAGGACAGGCTCCAAAGCCACAGAGAAACCCTGTCTCGAAAAACCAAAAAAAAAAAAAAAAAAAAAAAGATTCTCCCAGTGCTGAGTGAAGACCTCCTGAGTGTCTCTAATGGAGGAAAATGTCCCCTGTGCACCTGCCAGATCCCGTCCGCTCACCTGGGAGCAGGGCAGGGCACGCAGACCGTGTGGGGTAGGAACATGCAACCAACCGCCTCAGGCTGGGTTTGGGTTCCACTCCTTGTTTGTGATCTATCTGGGGCTGAGCCCTCCATCTCATCTCTCCAGAGGACAGTGCGGCCTTTCAGGACGGGAGGAAGGCAGAGTGTCCTCGGTGGGAGGAGGGGCACCGCAGGCAGGAGGACTAGAGCCATTCCATTATGATCAGCCGCGTTAGTTGCCTGGGCTGATGGACGAAGAGCACCTGGAAGTAACGGGAGAATGAAGCAAGAACTGATTTGTGTGCAGTCCAAGCACAGGACACGTTGCCCTCCTTTCTGAATGCCTTAACCCAACACCTTTCCGATTGTCCATGTGCTCCGGACACCTTCTAATTCAGTTCCTACACAGCCAACGCAGAGAGGTCAGCTGGTGTTACTAATCCTGCCATCTCCACGGGATGGGGGTGAGAAAGAGACGCAGATAGATTTTCCTGTCCTCTCATGATCCAAAATCATGAGGTCCCTGATATACCAGGACCAGAGAGCAAAGGGGTATTCAGCCAATTAGGACTACAGACAGGGAAGAACCGGCAAAAGAGTGGGGGTAACAGCCCCACCGGTGGCTAATCTCCACGGGATCCCCTCAGATGTGCAAAGTGTTCCCTTCCTCCACGTATGAGCCAGGCGTCATAAGGTGGGAAATCGAACTGCCCGGGAGGATCAGGGTAGAGCCACAATAAAGGAAGGCTACAAAGAAAGACTCATATTTAGCCACTGTGAGGTTCTTTTGACCGACCTGCGGCAGAGGGCGCCAGTCGCGCCTCCGTTGGTTTCCTGTAGCTTCCTCATCTCCAAAAGGAGTGACAGTCCCACTCCACGTGGTGGGTGGCACCGAGACAGAGAGAACCCTCCTAGGTAGCCCCTAAGGCGATGGCAGGTGGGCTTCGGCTCACCTTTGTCACACCTTTGGGTCGCGGGGATGCCAGCCCGCGGACTTGGCCCCACCCTGTTGATAGGAGTCTGCCGCTTCCTGTCCGCGCGCGCTCAGATCCTTTACCGTGCACCTCCCTAGGCTCGGTCCAGCTCCCAGGCCCCGGCGGGTCCCAGACTTCCTTCGTCTTTGCTCTGGTCCCGCTTCTCGAGTGCTCACACAAACCCACCTCCGACATACGGAGGCGTGAAGTTGCAGGGCGGACTGAGCAGAGAGCAGAGTTCGAAAGAAGGGGTTCGGTGTGGGAGTGCTCTGGACTAGGACCTGGGGTGTTCAAGGTCCCCTGAAGGTGCACTTGCGTCCCAGGGACCGGGCAACTTCTGGATCATTCCCCGCCCGCGGCCCTTGCGAGAGAGGTTGCTGTTTGCTCAGGAGGACGGGCCGGAGGTGGTGCTTCTCTGCCTGGACAGCGGATCCGGGTGGCACCTGCAGCCAAGCACCCCGCCGGCTCAAGCCCCATGATCTCGCCATGAGAGAGCCACGCAAGGGCTTCGGGGCTCGCCTGGTCCGGCTCTTGACTGGACTAGGGGGCCGAAGGGAGCGCAGGGGCAAGATCTCAAAGGAGACCAGACTCCCGGATAGGTGAGGGGAGGTGGAGAAAGGCTGGGTGGGGCGTCCCTGGCCTAGGGGTATGTGTTTGGGATTACTGTGTATTAAAGTTCAATGAGTGTTCAAATCAGCATGTGACTATCTTAGAGCACAAAAATATATGTGACGATGTGCCATGATTTGGATCTGTGAATCTGTGAATTGTGGGATTTCTCTGTGGACTTTTATTTTTTTTTATTTATTTTTTGTCTTAGAAAATACAGTATCCCCATGTCGTAATATGTATGTAGAGTAGCCTCAAACTTGTGACAGGCCTCCCGCCCAGTCTCCCAAGTGCTGGGATTACAAATATGCTATATTACATTGGACAGGTCCTTGTGCTTTTTTTTTTTTTTTTTTTTTTAATTTAAGCAACTTTGAGAACTTCCTGTCAGGCAAGCTGCTTACTGACCCACCCAGTAGTACCTCCTCCTGCTGCCCGATGTGGACTTTGGTTCTCACCTCACAGGTCAATGTTTCTTTCTTTGGCCCTTGTGAGTCTGGCAGGTCCTGGAGCTGTCTTTGTACTGTGTTTGCCCCCAGATGCCACACATAGGCTTCTCTCTATCATCTTGAATCCTAGAGAGATAGCTCTAGACTGTACCCACCACCAACCTTCATATGCCCCTTGCTTCTTGCTTTTCCCAATAATCTGAAGCAGCCCTCCCAGCGGCCCTGCGAGGCCTGTGTTCCGTGTGACTCAGATCCAGAAGAAGAGTTTCAGAGAAGTGAGGTCACCTACCTAAAGTCACACAGCTGGGAAGAGGTGACGCTGTGACATGCTCCTTAGCTGGCTGAACTTCTCCAAGAGCTCTGCTGCTATGGAGGTGGCCAGATGGGAAAGCCATGATGGTAGGCTGCTACCCACAGTTGCCTGCTGCCTGAGTCACATGAGCGAGTTCCTTCCCCTCTCTGAGCCCTTCATGGTGGGTTGTCTGAGAACAGCCTATCCTGTGGATGGCTGAGCCTGTTGGCTACGGGGAGGGGGGGCAGTGAAGATCTGAGAGAGGCCCCTGGAGCTCATAGGCCTTGCGTGAACAGAGCGTGTGGGTGTGCTGGCAAAACTGGGTGTTGGGTGTTTATATGTCTGTGCAGTTACTGGGCAATTTGTTCAGATCTTATCGTGACGCAGCTGTCTTCGGGCCTGCTGGCCCAGGAGGGATGAGGGCGTGGTGGGGGCAGAGGGGAGGGGTTTGTGTTGCTCTCTCACCCTAAAGAAGGGAGGGCCCAGCCACCCTGTGCCTGGAAGCCTGAGAGCCCTGGGGTGCCCACACCCTGCCAGGGCTCTGCCCACCCCCACCTGGAAGACACACCCTCTCCCTTACCCTGTCTGGCAGAACCCTGCCTTATAGGCCTGATAGGTTCTCCCTACACCCCTCCAGACTCAGCGAGGAGGCTGGCTTGGGGTTCGGGTGAGTCAGGAGTGAGGAGGGCAGGAACAGGAACGCAGGGCCCGCGTGATGATACATGCTTGCTGTGAATACAGTCGGGCCCCGCTCTTACCGGCCGTGGGAATGGGGCCCTGAACAGGCCTCTGATCCTTGATTACTCGCGAGAGGGGCAGAGGGTTGGTAACACACTTGTAAATCTTTCTCTCATTAATTCAACATCCAATCAAGCTTTGCAGTAGGATAGTCATGTTGACCGTATTCTAAAGCTCACTAGCTGTGTGACCCCGGAACAAGTGACTTTGACTCTCTGTGCCTCTGTTTTTCTCATCTGAAGTCCCTAGGCACTGATATTTTTCTAATGCCAATAGGCACAGACCCTAGGGTTGAGCCTGGCACCTGGAGGCTCTTGGTAAACGTGAAGCACTGAAGTCATCTGGGCACTGTCCCCTGTGGTATGAATGTGTGTGTGTGTGTGTGTGTGTGTGTGCATGTGAGTGTGTGTGTGTGTGTTCCTGCATGTGAGTATCTTATCTGTGTGTGTTTGTGTGTATGTGTGAGAGAGAGAGTGTGTGTGAGTGTGCCTGTTTGTTTGACAGTGTATATATTTGTCTCTGTGACATTGTGTGTCTGCATGTTGAGTGTGCATGTGTGTGAGTTTGTGTGTGTCTGTGTGTGAGTGTGTTTATGTGTGTGTGTTGGGGAAGTGGTGAAGGAAGCAGAGGAGGCTGTTGGTAAACCTTCTCCAAAGGCTTCAGTGGCTCATGCAGCCGAGTTGTGGGCCCTGGATTAGGTGGGTGAGGGGCTGCTAGACTCCGTCTGTGTGCCAGGTGTTGGGACAGCAGGATTCTGCTCATTCTTTTCCCTGTGCTTCCTTCCCAGGCCCTGGGGTGGCCAGAGCTGCCCTGACCTTGCTCAGGATCAGGGCAGCAACAACAATGTCAGCCTCAAGGTAGGATGAACGCAAATGGCAGGAGGTTGGGGGCAAGAGCTCTGGAGGGCTGGGCAGGGGGAGGAACCTAGACTTAGGGGCTCCCTCTTTGCTTCCACTGCCTTGTGTGACCCTGGAGATCTCTCCCCTTCTCTGCGAAAGGGGACAAGACAATAATGCCTCTGTCATAACTGTGGGGAGGAGTTCAGTAATAGATGCAGGAGGCCAACAGTGTCTGGGTGTCAAAAATGTGTCCGTTCAGTGCTGGGGAGCTGGCTCTGTGGTCAAGAGCACTGCTGCCTCCAGAAGGCCTGACACCAGTTCCCAGAACCCACATCTGACGATACGCAACTGTCTGTAACTTTAGCTTCAAAGAATCCAATGCCATCTTCTGGACTCCACGGATACCTGCATGTATCTCTACACACAGACACATGCGTGTACGCATAACCTAAGAATAAAAATCAATGTTTAATGAGTAAAAAGACGAAATGTTTAAACAATAAGTAAAAGTGTGCATGTAGTTCTGGGGTGCTGGGGAGGTGCACAGCTGTCACAGGGCTTGTTTTCAGGGCCCCCTGCTCCTCCAGCGCCTTTGACCTTCATTCCTCATGGCCTTCTCTTCTTTATTTCCTGACCTAGTCCTACAGATGTGATACAGGGCCTATGATTTGGCCTTCTGGATGCTCTCCCTCTCTGCAACGGGGACCTGAACCATAAGTAGGAGAGAGGGACGGGGTTCTCCCTTTGGGGGACAGACACCTCCCACCCCTAGAGTCACTCGGGGCAGTCAAGTCACCCCGCTTTGGTCCTCTTTGTATAACTGAGCTCCCCTGTGCTTGGGTACTCGAAACATTCACGTAACACCCCAGGAGTGGGATGTTCAGTTTACATTCCCACATATCAGGACGTGAAGATGTGAGTGATTTACCTCCACTAGCATGGTGGAGCTGGGGTCCAGGCCCAGGTTGCCTCCACAATCTTCGTGTCTCCGGTGTCTCCGGGTGTCTAATCCCTGGGGAATGAGAGGTCATATCTATTTCATAAATGAGTTACTTAAAGATAATGGAATCAAGCCTGGCAGTGGTAGCGCACGCCTTTAATTCCAGCACATGGGAGGCAGAGGCAAGCAGATCTCTGTGAGTTTAAGTCTAGCCTGGTCAACATAGTTAAGGATAGCCAGAGCTACATAGTGAGACCCTGTCTTGAAACAAACAAACAAAGATGATGGGCAGAAAAAAAAAATCACCCTTGCTAGGTGGGATTTTGTTCCTAGATTTGATTTTCCCAATGCCAAGGACACAAGTCTATCCTTGAAAACTGGTAGTGTGAGGCCAGTGTCCACTTTGGCCTGGGATCCTTACCCTCTTCCCTCTGTTCCCACGACCAGCCAGGCTGGATCCCAGGGAGAACAACAGATGGGCCAGGAATTGTCCCCCTCTTTGGCACCGGGATAGGGGGCTCTCCCTTGCTTCTCTCACGCCCTGTATTTATTTCTCTCAATGCCAATATGCACCCTCCCAGGTCTACTGTGGGAACTTGGGACTGGGAGGGTTTAAGGGAAGTGGTGCAGGCCTTTTGGTGGCTGGGAGCTGGCGAGGCTGTGTGCAGTCATGCCAGGTATGCCCACACATTCCCTAATCCCTAGATTAGGGCCAGAGGCTGGGCACTCTGAGGAAGCAGCAACAGGATTGGGAGGCAGCTTCAGGAAGGGCAGGCATGGCTGGGTCCGGCAACCGTCCCTATCCACAGGGGCAGCAGTGTGATGCCTGAGGGTAAGGAGACTTTGCCTCCCTGCCGTATGACTGTCTTCTCCAGGCTTCACTTTCTGTGTAAGTAAAATCGGAGAGCAAAGACTTGGCCAGGGTCCTGCCCCATTTTCTAGCTCTGAGAGTCCTGCTCAGTTTCCTGTGGGTCAAGGAGATTGACCAAGAATAGCCAGAGGTACCTGGATTCCAGAGGGGAGATGCCATCACCAAGTCCCTGTCACTACGTCCCTGCTTCTGCTTCCCACCAGGTCCAAAGCAAAAGCCATTCAGAATGGGACCTTCAAGTCAGGAGCCATGGTAGTTTCTGGAGTCAGAAGCGACTGCACATCTCTGGAAGACGAAGCGAACCCCTGGGGAGGCTACAGAGGCCAGCCGTGGGCAGTGCCGGTGACTTGGCCTCCTGTAGCCCTATGGAGCATGAGTGCCCAGCACCAGCAGGCTCTGCGGAAGCCATTGATGGTGTCGGTCATCCCTCCTGCCTGGACCCTGCTTCTTCTTGTTTGAAACAGGGATCCCCAGGGGACACCTGCCAGAACCCCCAATACAGCACCCCAGAGGTTCTGCTGAGGCCAGAGACATCCAGCAACCTGGAAGATGCACCCCTACTGCCCCACCCGGTGTCCTTTCTCACAGAAGCAAGGCCAAAGGGCAGTCCTGACACCCCAGAGCCAGCCCAGCCAGAGCCAGAGCCACTATGTACTGGTCCCAGTGTCAAAAGGACCCGCTACCACATCACTGTCACCCTGCAGGGGTGCGGGCAGACACCTGGGGAGGAGGGTAAGGAACCGGCCAGACCAGATCCCCACCCCTGTGGCCCCGAGGAATCCAGGGGTTGGCAGGAGCCTCCCCAGGAACTCCGCCCCATCACCGAGTGTCCAATCAACCTGCCTGAGGAGCCACGGCTGAGTGTCCCACAGCATCAGGGAAGCAAGGCCCGGCAGGAGCTCAGAGAGGGCTGGGAGCCCGGATCCCCACACAGCAGGTAAATAATGGCTGGTGCCTGAGGGACATGATGGTGGGAGGGTGGCCTGGGGTGGCAACCCCTGCTTGGGTCCCTCTATCTTGTTTCTGGGCTTCTCAGGCTTGAGATTCCCATTCATTTGATACCTTGAGAGTGAGCTAACTCTGTGTCCGCTCCCGATTCTCTGCTTCTCCCCTTACCCCCGCACTCCCAGGTATGCCTCCTATAACCCACCCCTGCCTTCCTCCTCTGCCCATCCTCAGGAGGGGAAATCTCTTCACAGAGAGGATGGGCTACTCAGGCTAACCTTCCTTTCCTTAACTGCTGTTACTCGTGGATTCTTTGCAAGAGATCACAGAGCCAGCCTGGGAATGGGCTTCTAGACAAGGTGTTGGGTACCCAGGCATAGGTTCCTTAATTTCTCTGGGTCTTGCTTTGTTGACCCAGAGAGTTGGGTATGGCAGTCAGAGATGAGGAAGAAGGAGGTGTCTGAGGGAGCATGCTTTGAACCTCATTCAGCTGGGCCGCTAAAATGCAGGATGCTTATTAATAATTACACACCATTGGCAGTGCAATTATCCCACCTGGCTCTGCCGGCAGCCTAAGAAGAGGCGCCAAGACTCCCAAGCTTAGATTTTTATTTGTGTTGAAGTGAGTCTGCCTGGTAGGCTGGGGAGGGGGTGGAGTGCAAATCCCTCAGAACTCACTGAGGACGGAACATGGGATCTCGCGAGGGAAGAGTCCTGCGCCACCAAAGTGGCCTCTGAGAAACTCCTACTGACGGTGGCGGCACCTGCCATCAGTGGCTGGTCTTTTTTATGAATAATTTGATTTAATTCACTAACTAGGGGCTAAGCTTTCCATTACCCCCAGCTAATTGGAGAATCAGGGAACTGAGGCTCAGTAAGGATAAGTCTCTTTCCTAAAGCCAACTAGATAGTCAGAATTCAAAGCCAGGTTTGTCTATGCCCTGGCCATCCTCCCCCGGCCCCCACCTGCCTTGTAAGGAGGCCTCTGTGGCTGTGCAGAGCTCCGCATGGCCCTGTGGTTGCTGTGTGGAACACACTGTGGATCTGACAGTGCCCTTAATAGAGACCAAAGCATGAAGACTCAGGTCCCCCTGGGTAGGAGCTGGTGTGCCTGGTTCTGTGCCAGGAGGACATGGGTGGCTCAGACTGGCCCTGAGAGCTGCCAGGTTACTCCAGCATGGGAAGACAGCCTGTAAAAGGGTGACGGGGTGGGAGGTGAGCTGGGCTTAGAGAGAAGCGGGGAACAGATAGTGGGGTGGGCTGGGGAACACGGGGTTCTGGTTGGTTGCAATCTAGATGAACAGAGACTGGAATCTGTAATCCACTTAGAAATGAAGGAGGGTGACCCCCCTGGGGACATTGTCCTTCTGTGTCCACTTTCTGCTGCAAGGTTCTCAACTAATGTAGGGAAAGGGGCAGAGAACAGCCAGGGCAGAAAGTGGGATTGTAGAAGCTATGTGTGCACTGAGTACGTATCCCTGTTCAAGGGCAGGAAAGAGAGAACTTGTCCGTGGTTGTAAACTAAATGGGTATGTGCTGGGGATACGTGCACATGTGTGTTATGGTGTCTGTGTGTTTCGTGGTAGAGCATGTGGCTTGCCTGTCTGTTGTGTTGCGGGGTGTCTCTGTGTGTTTGTGTCTCTTGGTGTGTGCCCATGCGTGTGGTGGTGCGCGTTCCTGGCTGTGTTTGTCTAGGTGGGTGTCTGTGTATTTTTGTGCTCTGTTATGTGCCGGGTCTTTGGCTCTGTGAATACCTGTCTGATGTAGCATGTGTTTGGCAGCATGTGGGCCTGTGGACTGGTTTGGCCTAGTTTGGGGGTGACTCACAGGTAAGCGGAGAGAATCCCAGGACTTGTTGGGTTAGATGAGATTTTTTTCCCACACTCCCCCCCCCACTTCACTCCTCAGCCTCTCCCTTCCCATCCCCACACACCTTGTTTAGAGGTCATAGGTCACCTTGCTGGCAAATCCACTTGTGAACTCGGGGCCCTTGAGATGAGAGGGCTCTGGGAACAAGCACTTCTGTTTGCAGGGACAGTAGCTAGGTTACTGGGGTGTGTCTGCAGACAAAGACAAAAATGGGGAGCTATAGGCAGGCACATTCCAACACATGTATAGGCATTCTAGCAGTCATGACTGTCCAGGGATGGGGCAGGTGAACTGTCAGGAGGTGACCTCCCTGTCCCTAGAAGTATGCAGGCATAAGCTGTGACCACATGCCTGAGGAATGAATGGCCATCAGGGGGTGTTGTCCCAGGGTTGGGCTGGGCTGAGAAAGGCATGGAACTGATTGCTGGGAGTCATCAATAGACTCCGGGCTGGCCGGAGTCAACTTCCCCTGAGCTGTTGTCCTGAGACTTTGCCGAAGCCCATGGGACTTTCCAGACATCTGGACCTTTAGCTGTGGACTCTGTGATTTCACCTTCATAAGAAAACTAGCTTTGGGTGAGTTTGACCGGCATCTGGCCCCATGGGCGAGTTATAACTCAAGCTCTGCCTTTTGCCATCAGCGACAAGGGGCAGGAGGGGGATGAAGATAGCGGTTGTTACTCAGAAATGGAGAGGGGTAATCCCAGCACTCGGGAGGCAGAGGCAGGTGGGTTTCTGTGACTTCGAGCTCTGCCTGGTCTATGGAGTGAGTTCCAGGACAGCCAGAGCTACACACAGAGAAACTTGTCTCGAAAAACCAAAAGGAAAAAAAAAGAAAGAAAGAGAGAGAGACAGAGACAGAGAGAAGACTCTGTGAGTCTGAGCGCGGAGTGCAGAATGAATGAGGGACAAAGTTCTACAGGGAATCCCAGCAGAGAGGACAAGGTTTCAATGAAGGTGGGAGGATCGGGTTGGGCTGTTGTGAGGAGCCGAGTTCAGGCCTCGGGTGTCTAGGTGTGTCGGTTCTCACAACGCACTCTGGTTGGAGAAGTCTCGGGAGTCATCCAACCCTCCCATCACCGTTCACAGGCTGCCAGGGGGCCCCGTGGTCTCCATGCTAGACGCCGTGGTAGCCACCAGTGGTCCTGGAATTGAGTCAGGCATCTTCGGGCCTCTGAGTCTTTCATCTCTGCCCCTCATAAAACCTGACTCATGGCTGGGGCCACGGAACAGGTCAAAGTTCTGGTTTCTTTCAGGAAGGAGGGAGGTAGAGATGGGGGGAAGAGAATTAGGACAGTGGACCTATTTCACTCAGAGTGTAGCCCTCTTGGGGCAGGCTCACAGAGTTGAGGAGGGGCTGATCCAGCTGGGTGAGTCCTGGACTCTTCAAGCCTAAAACAGCCTTGCCTTGTGCTGTGTGGAGATGAGTGGTTATGGGTGCATTGTTCTTTAAGGTCTGAGGTGGGTTCTTCTAAAGGTGAACCCCAGGGCTGGGATGTACCTCAGTTGGTAGAGTATTTGCCTAGCATGTATGAAACCCTAGGTCGCATTCCAGCACTATGATAATCAGAGTGGTACAGGCTTATAATCCTACCAGAAGTTCAAAGTTCAAGGTCATGGCTGGGGGGGGGGGGATGAGTGTGTGGACAAGGAGGTCTGCTGTCAAGCCTGACACCCTGAGCTCAGTCTCCTCAGCCCATGTGGTGCAAGGAGGGAACAGACTCCCGCAAATTGTCTTCTGACCTCCTCATGCCCAACGTGGGACACACACACACACACACACACACACACACACACACACGCACGCGCGCGCACACACACGAACACATGCACACGCACGCTCGCGCACACACACGCTTGCATACACATGCACACTCACACACTGAATGTAACTTAGGAAAAAGTTAAGTTCAAGATGTTCTTTGGTGGCAAAGAAAGTTCAAAGTCAGGCTGGTTTACCTGAGGCCCTGTCTCAAACAAACAAACAAACCTCACTGTGAACCCCAGTCAGCCATGACAGTGCAAGCATATAATTCCCCTCGCTTGGCTTGGGAAGCTGAGTAGGGTTAATATGAGCTGGAGGCCAACACGGGCTACATAACTACTACCAGGACAGTCAGAGTTACACACAAGATACTATCTCAACACATTAAAAAGGGCCGGATGTGGTGGCGCACACCTTTAATCCCAGCACTCGGGAGGCAGAGGCAGGTGGATCTCTGTGAGGTTACGGCCAGCTTGGTCTACAAAGTGAGTTCCAGGACAGCTAGGGCTACACAGAAAAACCCTGTCTCAAAAAAAAAAATTAGATTAACCACCAAACTAGAGCCTTAATTATCAGATAAATATGTAAGCCTTTACATACCTATGGGGAGTTTGGAGTGTGACTAAGCTCTTAGGATTGGGGTGCAAGTCTCACTGCTAAGGGGTAGCTCTTGTTCAGAGTTTTAAGTCTCATTGGTGAAATAGAAATGCTTGTTTATAATTTAGTAATGATTTACTTTTTAAAAAATAATTTATCTATTTTCATTTCCTGTGCATTGGTGTGTTGCCTGCATGCCTGTCTGTGTGAGAGTACCGGATCCCCTAGAACTAGAGTCACCGACAGGTGTGAGCTGCCATGTGGGTGCTGGGAATTGAACCAGGGTCCTCTGGAAAAGCAGTCCATGTTCTTAACCGCTGCGCCATCTTTCCAGCCTCTATGATTTATTCTTCTTAAAGATTTATTATTTTAATTATGTGTATGTGTATATCTGTGTGTGGGTGTCGGCATGTGAGTGCATTGGATCCGCCAGAGCCAGAGCTACAGGTGGTTGTAAACAGCCCAGCATGGCTACTGGGAACTGAATCTGAGTCTTCTGCAAGCGCGGTATTTGCTCTTAACTCTGTGCCATCTCTCACACTTCGTTCCTCATCATGTCCAGGCTCCCCAGATTCAGGCTCAGTAGAACAAAATGGAAAAGTGCTTAGTCAGGTGCCCCAGAGGGTGCCCTCGACATGTGGTGGCTGTTGCTGTGGTAGAAGTGCCCAAGCCCAGATTTCAGCCTTGACAGGTGTTGCTCATTGCCCCCCCCCATCTAATAAAGGAGGTAAGAGAGTCAGGGAGATGAGGGAGGGAATAATAGCAAGAGGCCTAAGAATATGACTTAGTCATGGAGTGTTTGCCTAACATGCATGAAGTCCTGGGTTTGATGCCCAGCACTACAAAAGCATAAAGAAGTAAGATTCAGTAGTCTGGAGTGTTGGCTCAGCCATTAAGAACATTTGCTGCACCGGGCAGTGGTGGCGCATGCCTTTAATCCCAGCACTTGGGAGGCAGAGGCAGGCGGATCTCTGTGAGTTCGAGACCAGCCTGGTCTACAGAGCTAGTTCCAGGACAGGCTCCAAAGCCACAGAGAAACTTTG